CACGTAGCTGCAGGGGCTGGCAAACCCAAGATCAGCAGGTCACGGAGAGCGGGGCTCTTGCTCACAGGCTGTGAAAATTGGTGAATCTCAAGATTGACAGGCAAGACCACAAGGCTTCTCCTGATTCACGTAGCTGCAGGGACTGGCGAACCCAAGACCAGCAGGTTGAACAGCAGGGCTCCTGTTCACAGGCTGTGAAGATCGATGAATCCCAAGATTGGCAGGCAAGACTGAAAGGCTTCTCCTGATTCACACAGCTGCAGGGGCTGGCGAACCCAAGATCAGCAGTCAAAGAGCAGGGCTCCTGCTCACAGGCTGTGAAGACAGACGAATCCCAAGATCGGCAGATAAGCTGGTAGCTCAAGTCTCAAGAACCAGAGGTCAGACAAACAGGAGGCAGTCACAGGATCCAGAGTGAGCAAAAAAGCCAGAGCATCTGCTTATATTCCAACACAGGCTGCTCCTTCAAGGAAACTCCCTTTCAATCGATTGGCAGATTCCATCATGGGAGTGATCACATATAAACACTGAGAATCATGGCTCAGCCAAGTTGACACACAGTCTTAACCATCACAGGCACCATGCTAGGCACTCCAAATACAATGATAAGCAAAATGAAACATGATCTCTTCCCTTCTGGAGTTACAGTCTTGATTTATAAGAAATAGGTCTGCTCTGACCCAGACAACAATAGTAAGCCATGGACAGAGTGGGAAAGAAATGTAGAACAAAACTCAAACTCATAAAAACACCAGACCTCCTGGTCTGAGACTGGTAGAACCTCTGAGACTATGGCCATTAGACACCCTTCAAACTTGGAACTGAAATCACTCCCAGAGATCACATTATAGTCATATAACAGACGGACTATAAATGAACAATAACACCAGTGAGGAATGCACACCTCAGTACATCCAAAAGCAAAGTTCAGGAGGAAGGTAGGGGCAGGAAAGCTGGGCAAATGGACACAAGGAACCCAGGGAGGCAGGGGGGAGAGTGATGACACACTCAAGGGTTTGCAACCAACGTCATGAAACAAGCAGTGTATAAATTGTTGACTGGAAACTAATTTGCTTTGTAAACTTTCACCTAAACCACGATGTTTAAAAAAAAAAAAACAATGTATAAGATTAAAAAAAAGAATAAAATACCTAGAATAAATTTAAGCAGGGATGTAAAGGACTTATACAATGAAAATTATAAAACACTGCTGAAAGAGATTAAAGAAGACTTAAATAAATGGAAAAATGTTCCATGTTCATGGATTGGAAGACTTAATACTGTCAAGATGTCAATACTACCTAAAATGATCTATACATTCAATGCAATCCTGATCAAAATTCCAACAGCTTTTGTACAGAAATGGAAAAAAAACAATCCTCAACTTTATATGGAATAGCAAGAGGCCCCCAATAGCCAAAGCAATGTTGAAAGAGAAGTACAAAGTAGGAGGATTCACACTTCCTGGTTTTAAAACATATTATACAGCTACAGTAATCAAAACAGCCTGGTACTGGTATAACAATAGACACATAGACCAATGGAATAGAATCGAAGGTCCAGAAATAAACCTACACATTTATGGTCAACTGATTTTTGACAAGGATGTTAACTCCATTTAATGGGGAAAGAAGAGTGTCTTCAATAAATGGTGCTGGGAAAATTGGATTCCTACATGCAGAAAAATGAAACAAGATCCATGCTTCACACCATACACAAAAACAAATTCCAAATGGATTAAGGACCTAAATGTGCAAACTAAAACCATAAAATTCTTAGAAGAAAATGCAGGGCAATGCTGTAGGGACTAGCTTTTAACAATGGACTATCTAATATAATAACAAAAGCAGAAACAGCAAAAGACAAAATAAATAAATGGAACCTCATAAAAATTTAAAACTTTTGTTCATCAAAAGATTTTACCAAAAAAGTGAAAATATAAGCTACTGACTGGGAGAATATCTTCAAAAACTATATATCTGATAAGAATCTAATAACGAAAATATACATAAAACTTCAACAACTTAACAACAAAAAGACAAACAACCCAATCATAAAACGGGCAAAGGACTTGAATAGACATTTCACCAAAGAGGACATTCAAATGTCCACCAAACACATGAAAAGATGCTCAACGTCATTAGCCATCAGAGAGATGCAAATCAAAACCACAATGAGATACCATTTCACTCCCACTAAGATGGCTAGGAAACGCTGGTGGCGTAGTGGTTAAGAGTTCAGCTGCTAACCAAAAGGTCGGCAGTTCGAATCCACCAGGGGCTCCTTGGAAATCCTATGGGGCAGTTCTACTCTGTTCTATAGCGTTGTTGTGAGTCAGAATCGACTCGACGGCAATGGTTAGGACGGCTAAAATTTAAAAAAAACACATAAATTAACAAATGGTGGTGAGGATGTGGGGACATCAGAATCCTTATCCATTGCTGGTGGGAATGTAAAATGGTACCGTCATTGTGGAAAACAGTGTGGCAGTTCTTCAAAAAACTGAAAATGGAACTACTATATGACCCAGCAATTCCACTTCTAGGTATATATCCAAAAGACTTGAAAGCAGAGACTTGTACACCAATGTTCATTGCAGCACTATTCACAATAGCCAAAAGGTGGAAACAACCTAAATGCCCATCAACAGATGAATGGATAAACAAAATGTGGTACATACATACAATGGAATATCACTCAGCCAGTCAGAGAATTGAAGTCTTGATACATGCTGCAATATGGATGGAGCTTGAAGACATTATGCTGAGTGAAATAAGTCAACCACAAAAGGACAAATATTGCATGACCTCAGTTACATAAAAAATCAAGAAAAGACAAATGTATAGAGACCAAAGTTTATCAGTGGTTACCAGGGATGGAATGGAGGTGGAAGGGTGGGGTTATTGCTTATGGAGTACTGAGTTTTGGTTTACAGTGATGGAAAAATCACATTGATTAAGGGTAGGGTTGCACAGCTGATTATTGTGATTGCTGGCAGTAAGTTGTACACCTGTAAAAAGTTTAATTGGCAAAAGTTGTGTGATAGATATATTTACAACAATGACAAAAAAAAAAA